TACATACTCTAGAAGCACTTGTTTCAGCCCCAGCCATTTCCGTTGCACCATTTCCGTGTGCAATTTCCGGTGAATTTGCCATTTTACTCCACCAACCAACCGGCTTTTAGATAAATAAATGAAGTCAAAGGAAAACATCATAAGAAAAAGCACTGTCCTTTGGAAACAAAGTACCATTGGTCACCGTACTCATACGCCATGTACTCATACGCCATGTACGAGTATGGCCATGTACGATATGGCGTATGAGTAACCTAATTTCGTGCTTCTATTTTATACTAAAAATTATTCCACATTTTCCTTTGACCATTCGAAAGTGGTTTATTTATCCACCGATTTTCATCGTTAGTAGCTTAAATTTTTGGCAACAAATAATATAATTACAAAAACGGTGTTAGTTTTTTAATTTTCTCCTTGTTGAAGTTTGCTTTTTTTCATAAACATGAAATCTGATCTGGGAAAGGGATATACAGATCCATAATCTGCGACCCAAAATTAAGTTAAGGTGTCTCGACGATTTTTAAAATCGTTCCAAACTTAGAGATTTTCGGTACTGAGTTATTAAGCCCGAGGTATTGCATTGTGAAAAGAATTAAATAATAGCACAAAGTTGATACTTTTCCTATCTTCCACATGCTTCAAAACAACATATCTAAACATATTTTGGATGTAGTTGGAGGTAGAAAAATTTTTCGTAAGGCTCAGCGAAACACGCCTTGCATTTGTTAGTAGTGCATAAAATCAATTTGTTCAATATCTTAACGCCTTAATACTATTCTTTAAGCTTAAAAATCAGTAACTTTCAATTTTCTGCGCACCACTTAAATAAACTTAATTAAATAACCCAAAGTCAATTGAAAAGGATCAAATAGAAACGAGCTGTGATTTCGAAGAAAATATTAACAACGGCATCAACTTGAAACTAACGTGAGTGACACGTGAGTTGGCAGTAAAAGCAAAGTGTAAGGACGATGTGACAAACGTCACAAATATATGTTAAGTGCGATGTAACAACCAAAAAGCGAAGGCGAATACGCTTTTAACATGAAAATACACTCATGCAGAGTCTTGATATTTGTATTTTATTGTGTGATATACATACATAAGTGTGTAAGTACATAGGTACATAATATATACATGCATACATATAAAACTACATTACAAGGAAGTAAACAAGAGTTACTTACTATAACGCACATTTCCGGTCAAAGTTGGCGGTAAATTTTCGAAGGAGTGCGAGTGTTTCTAATTACCACACGTTGGGCCATAAAATGTTGCAATGAAGATGACACACAGATTTACGCTACATTTGAAAGTCTCTTATATGTATATACAGACTTCTCGTTCAAATGCTATACTATGCACTGGTGACGCACAAAATGAATGTGTAAATATGTAAGTATATATAACTAATTTACGTCGTATGTATGTGTGTACACTTGTAGATATGCTTGTTTTAATGCCCGTATGCAAGACTTTGTTGAATTGTTTGTTTGTTTGAGTGAAATTTATGTCATATCAAAATTCCTGCATTGCAATCAAATAACCACAACATTATAAATATGTACATATGTATGTAAGTATGTTTTGCCATTTAGGCGTTTTGGTGACAAACACATAAAACAACATAAATATGTCAAACGCTTTTCTAAGTCATTTGATGTATGCACTTTTGTGTATAAATCAGTCCAAAATTTTGCTATGGTCGATAAATTTTCATTCTAATAACTACATTTACATGTGCGTTTAACCAATAGTTCAAGTAAACATATTTTTTGCAGTTAGTGGTGATGTCCTGGCTAATTACCACACATGACCAAATATCTGAACATTCTTTACAAATTATCGAAATTTAGTTTCGAAATATTTAAGCTAAGCGTACACGGTAGAGAAATCTCTCGAGAGTTTCACTGAAATAAAAATCTTCTCTCTCAATTAAGTTTACACGGTAGAGCAACTCTATGAGATATTCACTCTAGCTAGAGAAAAAATAGAGAAATCTCAACTTTTATCTATCACGTACTCTACAAGCCTCCCGCCTAGAGTTAGTTTTCTATCTCGAATTGTTGTCAATGCTTGTTGTATGTACATATATATGTATTTATATCAAAGCCACAATATAGAAAATATAGTTGACGCCATCAGCGGAGCGCTAACCCTTCGTCAATTTGACAGCATTCACCTATTTTCTGACGTCATAAAATACATTTTCGAAATATGGACAAGAATTAAATTTTCAAATTATGCTTATTCGCCGAAAAAAATTGTACCTAAAAGTAGGCAAATGTACCTAAAAATTAAACATGGCAACCTCTCTCTTCGGTACTATGTGTCTTTTCCCCGCGAAAACATTTTATTGTAAATGCATTTAACTATTTCCATGACATTATTTTAATATCATACTGGCTCGGTTCATCATTCCACCATTTTTGGGATAGTATAGCTCTTTTCAAAAACTCTGAAACCTTCTCATCTTTGGCCAACATCGTCCACGTTTCTGCGTAATCTAAAAAGATGAGTCTGATGAGAGATGCATAAAGCGCGATACTTATTCCTACAATACCTGCGAGCATGATATAATTATTCGCAGGTATTTCCTTCGCAGAGAATTATGGTTCGCATAGAAGTTCGCGGCCCCTTATTTTCATTTTGACGCAATTAGATGTTGATTCCTTCACTTTTAGTTGCATTTGATTTTTTGTTTTCGCCTCACTTGATTTTAGGAAAGCTCTCAGGGAGAATTCATATAAGGTGATGTTGCTAGAAGAGCTCATTCGCCTCGCTGCACATATGCCAAAACTTCTTATGAGTGAGAGAGAAAGTTAGATTGTTTGCGTTCTCTTTCGCTCTTCTTCCTTGAACGAAGAAATTATGAAAACTGACATTTGTGTACCGAAAGCAGAAAGGAAATACATACATATTTTTTGTTTTTGTACTACCGCTACCACCTTATATGAATTCGATTAGGAAAATGTTGTTGTTTTTTTTTGTTTAAAAAATTTACAAATACAATAAATAAAGGTAAACATGTACAAGCAAATGCTACATGAATTGGATCCCAGCAAACTGGCACGGACATGGTTGGACCAGTTGCTAAAAGGTTTAAAAATCACGTGAATTATTTTTACGTTCAAGAGGAATTTCCGCCCAAAACAAAAAATTTAAAAAATAATGAAAAATAGTGTTCAATAGAGTTTTTGAATTTGTTTAGATATCTACTAAATAAGTGCTTATTTTCGTTTTCTGAAAGAGCATGTTTTATAAAAACAGATACATATGTCGTAATATTTAGTGATGGCAACACAGTTGTTTTGACAAAATTTTTTTTTATGTTAATAAAAATTTAAGGTATGCAGTTTTATATCGCATTCAATTTTAATATAGTAAAGTGAAAGTTGCCGGCCGCTGCGGTGTAGTGGTAAGCAGTGCGCGCGTCCACTCCGCAGGGTCTGGGTTCAAACCCTGGTCAAAGCAACATCGCAAAAAGAAAAATAGAAAAAAAGGTTTTTTCTTAAAATCGCCGTTCGGAGTCGGCCCCTCCCCTTTGTGTGACAACATCAAAGCGCACGCAGCAAATCGGAGCAGAAGCTATTATTATTATTATTATTAAAGTACAAGTTCCCAGCTACTAAGAATTCGCGTTGATTTTTTATTAACTTTATTTTGCCTCCGTCCAAATACATTAAAAACAGTACACCCCAATGAAAATTTCAAGTATAACTTTTGGTTTCTGTTTTTTCTTTTGGGGAACCCTATAAATTTTTTCGACTAGTTTTTATAATTTTACATTTATTTAAAAGAGCAGGAGAATCGATTTAAAAAAGCGGCACCCATCAATTTCTCCGAAGTTTTATAACGATTAATTTAAGCCATTACAATTGAAAATAGGTTAGTATTTATGATATATAGGAACGTATGCCATCTTTTCCAGTATTTGGTGATAGGCAACAAAAAATGTGATTCCATTGCGCACAGGAGTCGATGTGTTGATTAGTGCACCCTCAGGCCCGAAGTGAGAATTGAGTGGCGAATCTGTTGGCTGTATGTTGAAATTTCAGTTTTTCAAGGTCGAGCTTTCCTTGTATTGCTGTGCACAGACTTTTTTTGCACAGAGGCGTGTTCACATCTTGCCTACAGCAATATGATGATTTGAGTCGATTTTTGGTCCTTGGATTGTGTGCACATCTAACACACTGAAAATGTGCATGCCTTTCGTCTATCACAACATGAGCGATATGGTTTCTCGTTTTTCGATTCGGTGAATACTTCCTAGCCTGGTGGATGTTTCTATGCTGGAACCTGGTGTTACGGGCGACTATCCTTAGCTCCAGTGCCAAGTCTTTCAGCCTTAGTCCTATAGGAGTCGTTTTGCTACAGCAAAAAAATCATATATATGTTGAAGAAATGCACATAAAACTTCATAAAAATGTCGCTTACGAGTATACATATATGTATATATATTGGCACCCCCCAGTGTACATTTGCGTACCATACGAACTAATTTATGTACATTTATTTGCCACAGATTGCATTAGACCGGCATTTTCATTCTGCCTACTTATAATAATCTGATATTTTAATATGTTTGGTTACATATGTACCTATTTATTTATTTTGTGCTTATGTTACAATAACACATATTCCAGATTCTACATAGAATACTGAGTAGGATTGGTAATTGAATTGCTGACAGCATGCGGCTTGAAATATTGCAGGTAAAATGTAAATCACAGAAAATATTAGGTACCTTAAATATATTTCCAAGGGCGACTTACACGGCTTTCTTGGAATATTAAAATTGAAGCTTCCTTTGCATTGCCTGACATTTTTTTATATGCATGTACATACATATTTAGGTATGTATTTTTGTGCAGATGTAACACACTTCACGCAGTGCGAGCTAAATATGAGTGCGCCCATTGGAGGTCTTTTGCACGTGGATTCACATACGACATGTGCCAGTACACGCTTGTGTGTATGTATGTATATTTGAGTACAAATACTAGAATTCTGTATGCATGTAAATAAGTGGATTTATGCAACTTTTGTGTAAAATTCTCTGTGCACTTTTAGTTCGGTTGTCATGCAAAGCATCGTTCGTTCACAGGCAACACACATAACAAGAAAGGCAGTCAGTCCTCCGCTATTCTGCCTTTTAATTTTACATGAAGAAGAATCCCGCTGTGCGAGACGTGTGGGTGGAAGAACTGTTTGGCCATTCTAAAGTAAAGTATGTACATAAGTACAAAGGAAAGGAGGAAAATGTGGCCTTACGAGCTATCACGAATGCCTTCTTCTGCTATTATCGCCATCCATGTATTTCCTTTACAGTTTTCTGTTGTTAATGCTTCCCACACATCGGATTTGTTGCTTCCCAGCAAAAAAACCGGATTACCACAGAAATTAAAATGGAATCGAACTAAGCGATGGTAATCGCTTACCCTTTCGCTTCGAGAAGGCAGTATTTTAACATGCGCATGCCATTGGGCGTAAGCCCTTACCCGAAGCATTACCTTCGAACGAAAGGGGAACGCATGGATAAATAGAATACAGAGAAGCGAACAAAGAATGTTTTACGGAGAAACTAATGTAGAATGCCTAGATAAGTACATACCTATATATGTACTATATTAAAATGAAAACAGAAAATGCAAATTGTCTTAAAAGATTAAAATTATTTAAAAATTTTATAACTCATTTATACATACATACATATGAAGGTATTTAGGTATTTAGATCTTACTTAAGAATCGGTACTTACAAACATACATATTTAATTAATCTTAAACTTGTACTTTCTCACTCATGTACTTCAACTTCATTGACTGACTTCAACTTCGCTGTAAATTCAACAAAGCAAAATATGATTTTTAGGCAATGGAATTTTCACAGAAAGTAACGGTAGAAAAGAATTTCAGCTGACTACGGTGAAGCATTCTACTTTGCGTTCTCTGTAATGAATCAAAGCAGCGAACTTAATAAAATATTGTAGAACATTCTACTATGCATTACCGGCAATGCCTAAACGCAGCGAAAAATTAGAAGACATTATAAGGCAATGCGTTCTAAAACACGTTACCACTAAAAGCGATTACCGATTTTGCTGGGTTGTTGCACAAAAATACCTATGTATATATGTATATAAAGATATGTATGTATGTACTTGAGTACGTTAGTGCGCTTGAATAACAACGAAAGCGGTCAAATGGGTTATAAAATGCGTTCCTTTTATGGCTTATTTGGCACAATAATTTCACAACATCCTTTCACTACCTGTATACGTCATGTACGAGTATGTTTGTATATACACTGAGGAGCAAAACCGGAACAGTAATACATATCTTGTGATATATTCGCAATATACGAAAACTTTTTTGTAATCCAGTTTCGGATTTCACATTTCCAATGTGTATTTCATCAGAAGGCGACAAATTGATGATACATATCGATACTTATCTTGTGAGTCTTTTCAAGGTCTTGGAGTAGTTATGATGAATATCTGCTCTGTGGTGGATTTATGAGGTCCAGAGTTACAATCACTTCAACGAAAATGGACTTTAGCCTATGGTCGCATCACTTGGGTGACCGTGATGTCCATCTTCGCTCTTACGAGAAAATCAACCAGCTGACCATGAGCACCTGCCTTATTAGCCCTAGTTGGGACGACCATGTTTATAACTCCTTTCGGCTGACGCACTCATCCCGGTGACTTTTATAAAAATATGATAAATGCCACACTATAAAGGACATTTTGCGGGAAAATTGTGGTCAATTGAAAAGGATTATCTTTCAACAGTAAGACCTGATTATTTTGACAGTTTGTATTTAGATGTACCAGAATCATATTGAATCCACTATCAAATGTGTTGAGTGCAAGAAATAAAATTTGTCTGTTTAAATTGTCATTATTAACTATATATATATATGTATATGTATGTAAATGTACATTATATACTTGTTTTCATTCAGGTGAATAAAACTTGCAACATGCAACAGCTGACTATTATTATTATTTTTTCTACTTAAAGTTCATTACACAGTCACAGAAGATAAGTTAACATAATTGATTGAAAATATATTTTTTGACCGAAAAAGGTGAAATAGTCACCCCGGTGACTCGTCGGTTAAAATACGGAGTATTCCAGATGAATACCCAGAAATCGTAGTCATTCAAGCGTTTACATTGGCGCTGTTACCAAAATTCAATTGTGCATAGCTAGATCTGAAAACCAGATCCAGATCCTGGAATGGTATACTACTTACGACCAATAAAACAAAGAAAATAGTTTAGACTACAGAACAGGCTATACGGTGGACTCGCCAACGACTCTCGACGAAAACTCTTTAAATGGCTAAATGGTAATTGTACATATGCATATATGTACGTTAGAGTGGCCAAAAAAAAAGAGTTTAAAATGTTAAGCTCTCGCCACCTAAGATTTTTCTTAATGGAAAAAAGAATACCCGTATTTTTTTAATTGATATTTAGAACTGCCTCAAAGCCCATGCCATTTTCCATGTATTTTATATGGGGAAAAAACACTTTTTTGAAGAAATATTATTCGATCAGAAAACTGTGGTTCTCTTCAGCAGACTTCCGATAATAAAACCAGTTTGTTTATTTTACCATTTCTTACGCTAACCATTTTTATGGGTTCCCCGTCGCCTTTATTTTGGGTTTTTGGGGACCTATAAAAAATAGTTAGTATTAAAATATGGTTAAATAAACAATTGGGTTTTGTTATTGGAAGTCTCCTGAAGTGGATCGGAGTACCTTAATTAAAAAAAATTTATTTTTAAAAATTCTTTACCATTTCTACGAAAGAGTGTTTTCACCATACATATAAAATACATATGTACATACATGGGAACCTTCATGAGATTGAGGAAGTTCTATATATCTTTTCTCAACACAATATACGGCATTCTTCTTTTCCATTTCGGAAATATTTTTTTGATTACCTAATATGTGTCTGCATATTCTGCAATTACCATTTTACAACCTTTACATTACTTTGCTCTTAATGCGTTAATGGCTACATGAAAAATTCGCACCGAATGCTGCTATTAAATTCATTTTGAATAAGAAATGATGCAGACCGGACGCTGGTACGACCAGTGGTTGGTTGGTTCTCTACGTCAGCCATTTAAAATATTTAAATACGTATACACCTGTACCCATAACCTTTCAGCGCTACCAATGAGTTCCTATTTGTGCGTGTGTCGGCTATTAAAGAAAGAGTGTGTGTGTGTGACTCATCTAAAATGGAAATTTGCTCATATAAATTTTATTAAACGCGCGACCTTTTTAACGTTTCGCTGACTTTTCTTTCTTCACTTTTTTCTTGCAGCCTTCGTGGGTCCTTTTTAACTAAATAAAATCGAGTCTTCCATTGCATCACAAAAAGTTGTTCACTGTTGTTTTTGTTGAGAAGTATTTTGGTAGTTCTTGCGTTTTTTTTAGTTTGTTTTTGTACTCGTATGCCTTCCAATGCGAATAAGGAATACACATACAGCGATGGATGATAAGCAAACGATTGGGAAAATGAGTAAAAAGCGGAAAATTTCATTTAATTATGCAGCGGCCAAGTTGTGTAAGACCCGAGTGAGGCCGCCAGTTGCCAGCGAAACGGTGAACGACATTGCGTTATTCTTGCTGGTGGTACTTGCCATCATTACGTCAACCAAAACAGGTGAGTCTGACACGTTTAATATAGCTACTTTTATGCATACAGATGAATATATAAATGTATAGCCATTCGTATAAAAAATGCCACCACGTCATACAAAAGTACATCTGAACGTTAGGCTGGACATTTTTGTAACATCAGTTTATATAAATGAGCACCAGGCTGGAAAATTTTCACATTTTACTTTGAGAAACTAATTGACAAATCTGCAGCCAGTCTGAGAATAATAATATTCCTAATAACACAGCCCACAAAAAAAACTTGTCATGTGCTTTTGACAGCAATACCCCTAATGTTTTGGTGGCCGGAACACGAATTTGAAGTCCATTTTGTTCAATCACATCAGAATTTTTTCCTAATACCAAAAGCGGGGCGGATATTTTGTGACATGCACGTTTTTTGAGGTTAAAAAATCCTGCCGTGATGAAGCAAAACGCACTTCTGATTCGTGTTCTGCACATCAAAATACATAAGGAAAGGTTAGTCTGATCCCCGAACCCCGAAACTTGTTTAGTAGGTGTGTGGCTGTTTACAGCTGTTTTGTAGCTTTATGTAGTAAGACCTTTGCATTATTAGTTTGAAAACTTTGTACGTTGACAACATCTTAGCTAGTATTAGTATTTACATACAAGTCTGTGTATGCCCAAATCTTGTATAAAATTTACTCATTTAAGGGCTGCCAGATAGAAAATCTCAACCTTGACTGGCTAAGCATCAGCTAGATTGAATTCGCTCCAGACATTGTTTTCATGTCGGATCGGTGCGATCGATTTCTGCCGTTAGTAGAAGTGTCATCAATGTGGCGTCGAGCTAATTGAGTGCAAAGCCTTAGCAGCGATTAAAACAATTCGAAGTTGAATACTTTGAACCTCGGCCCCCACGCAACTGTTGCCGTATACACGTTTGAAAAGGTAGGAAACAGCATTAACACCAAAAAAGTAAGTGCGCCTGGGCCACACTGGAGAATTGAAACTGACGTTACATATCTAGTTTTTCTCATAACCAATATGTACGTACCCACATGCATACAACTGCTTTTGCTTAAGGTTAAATTTTTTGTCTTTTTTCTATCTATGGCATTGACGCATTAAGTTCAACTTTTGGAAAATAAAATTAAATTGAAGCAAATTGATTTAAACTTTCAGCACATTGATTAAAACTGTGGGCAAATAAAGCTAAATTCTACTGTAGTACTTAACAGTATCTGAAAAACTGAAAAATACAATAAAAAAGCAAATAGCAGTTTTTCAGATACTATATAGTACTACAGCAGTGTTTAATTTTATTTGCCAAAAGATTAATTTTGTTTGCCCAAAGTTTAAATTTATTTGCTTAAAGCTTAAATTTATTTGCTAAAAGCTTAAATTTTCTTGCCCAAAGTTTAATTTTATTTGCCAACAGTGTAACATATAACCCAGATCGTTCTAAATACATTCGTTTTTCCGATTTATTTCATCTTCATTTTTACTTTTATACTCTATCGATAACGAAATCGATAGTAACATCTATCAAAATATCGATAACACAGCCGATAAAAATATCTATAACAAAATCGATAATAAATTCGATAAAAATATCGATAGCAAAGTCGAAAATAATATTGATAGCAAAATCAGTAACAAAATCTATAGTAAAATCGATAAAAATATCGATAAAAAATCGATAAATAATCGATAATAAAATCGATAAATATTTGATAACAAAATCGATAAATAATCGATAGCAAAATCGATAAAAATATTGATAAGAATAAATATATGAATAACAAAATCGATATGAATGACAAAATCAATAAAAATATCAATAAGAAAGGCAATAAAAATATTTATAGCAAAATCTATAAAAATATCGATAACAAAATCGATAAAAATATTGATAACAAAATTTATAAAAATATCGACAGCAATGTCGATAACGAAATCGATAAAAATATTCGTAGCAAAATCATTAAAAAATATTGATAACAAAACCGATAAAGATATCGATAGTAAAACCTATAACAATATCGGTAAAAATTTCGATCACAAAATCGATGAATATGTCGATAAAAAACCGATAAAAATATCGATTATTATATCGATAAATCCCGAGAATCCCGAAAATCTCTCAAATCCCGAAGTAGTTCCCGAATAAGTTCTGTGTATATCTCTTCCCCTATCTACATACATATATCCTTTTCTCTATAATTACCTTTGTTTTAATCTTACTTTCTCTATTTTCATCTTAACTTTTATCGGTATCCTCATCCTCATCTTTTCCTTTATATATATCTTTGTTTTTACTGTCATGTTAACCATTTTCTTCATCTATATGTTCCCCTTCACCTTTGCCCTTATATATATCTTTACGCTACTTTGTTTTTTTTTTTACCTTCCTTTTCTTTATCTATGTACGTACTCACCTTTACTTTCGTTCTTGTATTGGTCTTTTTCTAAAAGTTATCCTTTAGCCTTTAATTAGCAAGTTTTTGTTAAATTAATACCATGTGCATACACTCAAGTAGCACTTGTTTCAGCCCCAACGATTTCCGTGTACAACTTCCGTGTACATTTTCCGTTGCACCATTTTCGTGTGCAACTTCCGTGTGCATTTTCCGTTGCATCATTTCCGTTGTATTTACCAATTTACTCCCAATCAATCAACCGCCGCTAACGTAATTTCACTTCAATAATAATATTATCCTTCCTAGCAGCCAGTGTGCTAATTAAGTTAGGGTTATATTGTATATATCCCCAACAAATAATAATAATAATAATATTATCCTTGAAATTCAATGAATAATCGGCCTT